TAAAAACTACCATTTCAAAGACATAATGCTCCCCTCTGAGCAGGACAGCTCATTGCCAGCTCACTTTTCCTCTTGCTACCTCTTGCTCTGCAGCAGTGGAGCTTATATGGGGAAGCAGCAGAAATGAGATACAGACTGCATATCAGCACTTCTAACAGCACAATGCCTCTCTCGGCAGCATCCTCTGGACATTACTGGAGTCTCTCCACTATGCAGTCTGGGAACAGTGAAATAGAGACCTTACAGTACGTTTCGGTGTATGCACATTCTTGGAAGATAAGACCAATAAAGCTTGTCTTAGCATTGTAAAAACTGACAGTAACAAATCCTCTAAATAACATTTCTCAGTTTCACATTTCGGTGATAATGGAAATCAGTACCAGTTATGTCCCAGTGGGTGAAATCCTAAATGTGCTGGCTGGAAGTGGGTACGCCTGCCAACAGATGTCTGAATACCTGATACCGACAGCAAGTCTTCTGGCCACCCACAGGGACCAATCATTTTCAGCAACCTGTCAGCCCGTTATGCTGAATATTCCTCCTGCTTGGCGACAACATGCCATATATAACGGATCCCGGTGTAAATAACACATTCTGCAATGTCTTTTCTTTGTGCTGTTACTGTAAGACAAAGGGTTACTATAGATGTTAGACAGGTATGTTCTGTCTGATTCATTATGATTTAACACACTGATACATATGGGTATTAAATCTTGCTTTATTCAGATTTGTAGCTCTATTTATATTCCTTTAGTTGTCATAATGTGTGTAATTTGTGACAGAAATATACCCAGCGTACACTGAATTGTTACCAGAATAAAATATTTTATTAATATAATTACATTTCAGTACAATAAAACAATATCAGCAGATATTAAAGTAACCTCAACTGGCTAATAACATTATAAATATTTCACAGGTAACTGCATAATTCTGGGTGAGCGTATTAACATTAGTAATTAATGATTCTTGTTTTATTTAAATGAACTCCTTCAGATCTATGCCTGTTTTAATAACACATGGAGGTTTGGTTATAAATTAGAAAATACCAGTTTTGTTTAAAAATGTCACATAATATTAACTTGATCTAATATGATTGCAAATAATCCATCTTGGTTTAATATATTAAAGTGCAGGGCTCCTTATATAATTATAGTTTGCTTTGTGCACCCTGTAGTCTCCACACTGTTTCAACTTCTTTTTCTGAGTTGTCCAACACATTGAACACATTAAGATCCTTTGTCTCGTGAAAGTTCTGCAACACTGTCTGGAAAACAGTCACTGGGATGCTAAAGTTGAGGTGGGGGTAGGTCACTTTCGCAGCCAAGTCCCTCGTGTTGCTGGAAACGATACCTGCAAAATAGCAAATAATCCTTAAAATTGCATAACAGTGCAGAAAGAGTATCTGGTAAGTATAGCTGTTATCTCTATGCATACTGCTTTGTTACAGTGAAGTCTTCCATGGTCACCATATGCCCCCCACTGATCAAAAAGAGAACAGGATTTTGTAGTTTCTTACCCAGCAGCTCCCCTGAGCGTGCCCGCACCACAGCCCCCCCGCTGGTCCCTGCTTGTACTGCACAAGTGGTCTGAAGCATGACCGGCTGCTCGTTCAGGCTGATGGTTTTGGAGAGGACACCACAGGTCAGGGACGGACCACATCTCCGACCCAGGCCCCCGTATCCCACTACAACCACAGACTCACCTGCAGGCAGAGAAGATGAACTCATAACTGTTTTATAGTGAACAAAGATCTCCTCTGGAAGTGAGGTGTAACTCGCTACCACGAAACAAGTCACACATTTTACCCGGATTGTAACTCTGAGCCATTCTCGGGACCACAGCCCCTGTGGCAGGGTCTCTCATCTGCACCAGAGCCAGATCATAGGGTGAAGAGGCTTTAGTGGAAAACAGCACATCACCTATAACATCATGGACTCTGAAAAAGAAATCAATAAAATCATCAGCTAACATTTAGTTGTTTGTGCCAAATCAGAAACATTACAGCTAGCTGAAAGATCCTAAATCCTTACAGCTGATTTTGAAAAAAACCTTGAAGAACCACAAACTAAATGCAACTCAGTGCATAGCTAAATGTGGTTTGAGTTTATAGCAATGCAATGATCAAATTAAACTGTCACTGTAGGAGAAACACGATGATAGCTGTATTCTATTCAGGGACACAGAGCCATCGTTACTGTAATGGGTCCCATCTGGGCTTTTCCTGCTGTAGACAAAAAGGTTTGCTGTAAGAACTGCATTAAAACGCTTTTGGATACATTTTCCCCATTGAATCCTTTCCTGTACAGAGAACAGTGTGAATGGGTAAAAAAAAAAATATATATATAATATTTGAATGGTCATATGTTCTTCATATATCTTTGCATGTTTTGACTGTAAACAAACAAAGGGAGATGGATCTTTTAATTGCAGTTTGAATCGTAAAAAAAAGATCTTTGGACAGGGTCGTGCCTGAAAATAACAGCGGGTAGGTTGAGAATAAGCTCGAGGTGGGAGATTTAACACTAGACATAAAGAAACATACATTGCTGGAACATAAAATCCTTTGAAAGGCCTTGTTGTAATGTGGCATATTATAGATTAACATAGGACCCTGGGGGCCTAGATATCTCCCCCCTTGATGTGCTGTCACCTTTCCCTGTTATGGAACTTCAGGGTGACCTTTGACCTCCCGTTGACAACATGGCGGCAGGTCACAACCAGCTGAGGGGCGACAACGACCCCCGAGCCCCAGACCTGTCCACTCTCCACAAAGCACACAGTGGGGCATTTAACAGCTTTCGACTCATGGACGGCATTTGACATTATCACGCCTTCCTCTCCTGGATGGAGCCAAACATCTCTGAGCGGATCTTGAACTGTCATGCAGCGGATAATGTTCCTGAAGATCAGGTGGACGGAGCAGACCAGAGTGAGGCCGATCCACTCGTTCGCCTTCCAACCAAATGGAGACACAATCAGTCCAAGGAGACGTACGTTGTCTTTGCCTTTCACCGCAAACAACCCTCCACCCTCTGTGCCTGGCAAGCACCGGGCGTCTGTGAGGATGATGGCGTTGTCCTCTCCGGCCAGGTTGCTGATGATTCCTCTGCTGAGGGTGCTGATGAAGAGATCCACGCAGAGGGAGCCAAAGGGTGAGCCACATGCAACAACAGGGCATCCTTTATGGAGGGATGAGCTGCTCTGCCAGGGTATAGCCCCTGCATTTGGGCTGCATTCTGCCACATCACTTGCCTTTAGCACAGCGAACCAGCTGAGGAAGTGAGCATCTCTTATCAGCCCCTCATCCTCTTCATCATCACAATGGAAACGCCACTGGTCAGCATCTTGGAAAACTGCCTGGAAAGCCTGATTGAACTCCAGGCAGTTCACCAGCATCAGCAACTCTGCAGCAACTTCCCGTTGAAGTGTTGCTTTGCTCCTGGGGGGTGAGGAGGACGCTTCTCCCTGTGCAGAATGGCTGGAGTCCAGATCTCGCTCAGTGGAAAAGCTGACGCGGATTTTCAGATTTTCACTGAAGCTGTGCGGTGGCAGGAACCTGTGGTCTGCGGAGAGGGGCTCTTTGTCGGTGGCAAAACGGGAAAACGGGACGCCGGTGCATATTATTAATCCAGTTTGAGGATGGACGATAACTCCGCTGCAGCTCACATGTTTCTTTGCTGAAAATGCCTCAAACAGATTGACAACACAGCAACACTTCTCTATGTCCTTTAGCTCCATGCTGTTAGCAGGTGAACTTTAACCATATAGTCGATAACGTGGTTTAGCAACTTTCAGACAGGGACAACCCGTAGAAATGCAGTACAGACATCAGTGGTAAGACAATAAAACAAACATCCATACTGACAGGGATAATAGCAACCTGACACCGAGTTGTAACTACTGTTTTATTGCACCGTTCTATTTAATAACGTGAATTCTGTCCTCTTTCTTCCTGGTTGAGTATCATTGGTCAACCACCAAAACAACCCCTGACGATTACTGTGATTGGTCAGAATGTGAATACAAACAGCTCTAAGCCAATCGGAAACAAGAGGGCGGGAACTTAGTTGGTCTTTCGACTACACATATCCCACACGTTCTTGATACTGTAAATTAAACTTTGACCTTTTTTGGGAATCATTTCGAAAGTTTTATATCTAAAAGGGAAAGGATGGAAGCCTTAATCCCATTTTTATTCACTGTAATTTGTAAAACCAGTCGGTTCAATGGCTCGTTTAATGAATAAATACTACAGTTAACATTTTGAATGCAGGACTTTTACTGTAACAGAGTATTCCTACACTCTGGTACTTCTACTTTTACTCAAGTACAAGATCTGAGTACTTCTACTTTTACTCAAGAACAAGATCTGAGTACTTCTACTTGTACTCAAGTACAAGACCTGAGTACTTCAACTTTTACTCAAGAACAAGATCTGAGTACTTCTACTTTTACTCAAGTACTAGATACTTATACCACCTCCGTTTATAGGCTATGAAAGAAACTATTTGAAAACGAAGGCTAAAGCTAACGTTAGCAGATAGTGACAATGTATGCTAGTTAGCTAGCTCAACGATTCATTAAATAATATTGCGACAGAAACACTTTTCAGTGCACATCACGCTCTGCTGCTCCGAACACCCCGTTCTAACCAGCGGTCCAGTCTGTGCCACAGTGACTCTGGACCGCATAGTTAATATTAACGAACGCACCGTAGGTAATGTAGCTGCTGAAGCTAGACCCTCATCCCGGAGCAGAGCTGACAGGCAGGAAGACTTGTGCTCGCGCTTCATTATAATATATAAAAAAAGAACACCATGCGTGTCATGATGGCACATAACAGCTCGCGGCCGCAGATTACTCCGGGTCCCATACCCCAAAAATATTTTTATTGCAGATCTACATGAATCACACAAACGACCTATTTTGGAATCAAAACGGCGAATTTCGCCGAAAGGTGACAAGTTTGCATCCCTGTAAATGAGACAGATTTAAAGGATTGTCAGAAATATTTATTATACTCAAACTTCACACATTGAATAACAATAAGACCTATCTTTTGTACCAGATACATTGCTTCAGTGCTTAATGTAACATAAGGAAAGCCAATGTTTGTATTGCAAAATATAAATAAGAGCTTATATACAAAATAATGTATAGTATTGCACTAAGTCCTTTCATGCTCTATTTTTAATCACAGCCCAAGTACTCTCATAGTATCACTGCATGTTGTGAACAGCTACTAATCACAAAGTACTCAAGTTGTTACAAAGCAACTAACTCTTCATGAGACAGGTAGTTTGTCATCCAAGTATGAGTTTGTTACATCACCTGTCTGTGCTGATGCAGTTAATTAATACTGCAATTATTTAACAATATTCTGAACCATTGAAGATAAAGCTCCTCACAGCAAAATGTCAGTTAATGCACTTATGGTCACATATATGGCCTGTAGTGGTAAACCCCGTAATGGTTGAAAAAACCTACTATCATTAGAACTGTCTGTGTCCTTGGAGGTAGCAAGCTTCACTATTAACACGTTCCTTATTAGGAAATATGGCACCAAATCTCTGCAGCACTTTCCAGAAGAAATATTACATTCTTGGACAAAACCTAGAGTACTTCCCATTATTTTTGAAAAAAATCAGCTAAATATAAAGATATAATAATAATATGAATTGTCAACCAAGGAAGAGTAACTCCCAGTACAAAATGTTAACCAAATTGACCTTCACTGTAAGTCTACACTAGTCGCTAAAAATAAACCAGGGTCAGAAACTGGTTCACAGCGATGACATGTTCTATATGGCAGACAAATTCTTAAGAGTACCACACCATGAAGATCACTCTCCACACTCAATCTGAACAACACAGACTGATTATTCAGTCAACTTAATCTTTGACTAGCTGTGGTATTGATTGATATGACATACAGATTTCTTCAAACTCATAAAGAATACATGGTATATTAACACAAAACACTACTTGAAACACATTTCCTACAGGCACAAACAAAGTCCTAAATAAAGTATATTTATCAAAATATCGCTCTACGGCAGGTAGTGTTGTGTAAAACATGTCTGTGTGCGCAGGTAGCATGGTAAACAAGGTTATTTAAAGAACGCGCATCAGTCAATATACTGGGAGAGCCAGCGGAAACCGTCTCCATATCCTTGTCTCTTCAGCACACTACACATGAAAACTTCCATTGGCCTCAAATTCCCCTCCTTCAGTGACACTTTGCCCTGAAAAGAAACAAAAAACACAGATTATAATTCACAACCCAAAAAAGGGCAATAACCCTTCCTATTTTAAACCTGTACATGTCTGCATGCTGTAGTGGGATATTTGTAGGGCTGCGGTCTGACTCAATGACATTAATCATTCCTCACTTTTGCATCCTACTTCCTTTCTGTCTCTGTTCTTGTTTCCTCTGCCGAGAGACAGCAGGTGGTTAACCCGATTAACACTAATGATGAAAAATTAGCATGAGCCAGTACTATGCCAACTGCGTTTTAACAGCACTGTCATGCCTGCCCATGGCTATTCAGATTTGTATTAGAAACACAGCGTTTTCTACTATCTCAGAGCAACAGTGAGTGCATATACAATTTTCTCAGGAGCTGAAAGGAATGTAGGTCTAGCCTTGAGTGATTTGTGAAGCTCATTGTTGTTATTATGCATTCCAAAAATCCTTGAAGGAACATGATGCATGGACACAAATATGCTACTTATTCAAGTCGTAAAGCAACAACAGAGAAAATAAAATAAATATTCTACTATTTTCAGTAGTGTACAAATACAAAATAAACTTGACTGACATTATCTTTCTTTTAAATAATTTAATCATCATCATGTTCATCACCTTTCCAGTTGTTTGTCCATGAAGACCGAACATTCCTCTGAGTCCGTCCTCACTGATGGCCTCTGGACGGTCGATCTTATTCCCCAGGATGAGGACCGGGACGTTTGAGATGGTTTCATCTGTCAACAGGGCCTGCAGACAGAAAGAGTGAAATATTATAAAAGAGGTCATTACAAAAAAACATTGTTGTGTGTTGATACACAAATGAAATCATCACAAGTAACTTACATCCAGTTCAACTTTGGCCTCTGTTAGTCGCTCATGATCAGCACAGTCCACCATGTAGACTATACCGTTTATGGCTGGGAGGTAGTTCTTCCAGATCCTTCGTGCTGTGAGGGAAACACAATATCAGCGTTTATGTAACAGACATCTGTCAGCGTGAGTTTCGACCTGTTCCTACCTTGTGTATGACCACCGAGGTCAAACGTTGTGAAGGTCATCCCAGCTATGGTCAGCTCCTCAGATGCTGAGGACAGAGGGGAAGCACTGACCTTAGACAAGTGTTGAAGCAAGTAACACAAGGCCAATTGCTGAGCTGACAACATGTGAAATGTGTGAATGTACTTGGATGCAGTGTGGGCACGTGCTGTCCCAGCCTGTCGTCCCTGAGCATGTGCAGGAGTGTTGTTTTTCCAGCATTGTCAAGTCCAAGGAACACTAGCTTGCCGCTCTTCTTGTACAACCCTGAGGACAAGAAGAAAACAAACAATAAGTAATATAAAATCACTAATAACGGTGTAACATTTTGGATGTTATTTTGTATCTCAATGATGATGAGCAGGAGGAGAGAACAGGAAGGTCCCACAGTCATAACAAACACCGGGGGGGCACAGTTGTTAGTGTTTGGGCAGGAATTGGTGAATATATTTACAGGAAACACACTACTACTTTTTAGTAGTCATTTTATTAGGTATTAATAGATTATTAGGTATTTCGCCCCAAAGCTTGGTTGATTTCTACTGACAAAGCGACTGACATTCATTCAGACTGGCTAAAAACTACTGCTCATTTTCTGTCCAACATTACTTTACCTAATAGTTGCAAGACACTGCTGAAGCTCTTGTAGATCCAGTCAAATATGAAAGACATTTCTCTGGACTGCCTGTAATATAGATCATACAAACAAAATGATTTGTTATGGCACATTAAAGAACAACACAGCACAGCAATACGTTCATGTTTGAGTTGCTGTTAAGGTGTCATAATTCACGGGTAAATGAAAACCCATATAACAGCACAAAGCAAGAACACGTTTGCAAATAAATGTACAATCACTCAAGTAATGTACAGTTGCGAAACAACAGAATCCAGCACAGAAGCTTATTGTTAATCAATATTCCTGACCCTGGATTACCCTGCTGGTATGTGTAATTACTTTCTAATCACACAAGCTTTAAATCATAAATGGAAAGGGGGGGCAAACTAAGCAATACACACTCTTTAGAGGATTTTTAGATGCTGGTTTGTTCTGAGAACTGTTCAACTAAGTCACACTGATCTTCCTCTGACTATTTTTATGACAAGTTGTGGCAAGGACACTTGATCTATGCAGGCTCCCCCTGCTTCCCTCTCTCTCTCTCACACTCAAACACACCTGTCACTCTACGTGATACTTGATGTGCTTGTTGCTGTGAATAGTGAGGCCTGCAGTGACTAGGGCTTTGGGAAATTACCCAACTGTTAATGACTTTATCATACAGTCATGTTTCAGACATTTGTAAATAACAAACTCCATTCATAAAGTGTGGCGTTTAATTCTTAAGTCTGTGGATTTAACACTGGGACACAACAGGGACTTTGTGTTGCGTTAACCCTTAAAAATGTCCGTAGTCATGACAGAAATCGCAGCTGTTTTCGCACGCAAATCTCAAATCGGTAATCCTTAAAAAATATACATAAATAAAAACACGACAGGAGAGTAAACTAATGACGGAGCTCATCAGAAATACTTGTTCCAGTGATTTTACAATGATCGACACAGTTCGGCTTATCACGTGTAGCTTGTAGTAACGACATCAGCTGTCACACAGTAAACAATGATACATTTAAAAAACAACAACGCGCAGTGAACCAAAATGACTAAACTAAACCTTTAAAATGTGAGAAAAGTGGTTCAAAAAGCAAAAAAATACACCTAAAACGAAGTGGGAAAAGGTAACTAAGTAAACTTGTTGTTAAATGTGCGATTTTACCTGGATCTGCCAAATTTACAAGCTGCACGTCCGCTGGTTTTTCGTCCAAGCCTGTCCCGTCGACTGACATGTAGCACAGAGTTTGACAGTTTACCGGAAATACGTCACAGGGAGGGCGGTAGCAGCCCACATGCCAGAGATGTAACAACAAAAATACTATTTTCTTCTCACTCTTCTAATATAGGAGTTATACTTCAGTAACTTTGGAAGGGGTTATATTTAATAATACAACAATATTAACAATGTTCTATTTGTAAATTAAAAATTGTTTTGACCCAAATACCAATGTCATTGTATATTTTAAGATCATGTTGAGCAGGTTTTACTCACACATTTCTTGAAGAATTCCACATATGCACTACTACAAACAATTCTCAATTTCTTTAAATTATTTGTCATTTTGTCTGGGTTTATAGTCTTATTGGTCCATATAAACTCTGATTATATCTACATTTTTGAACATTTACAACCAATGTTAAAGGAAATAGAGAAGATTTGAACACCTGAGAGTGCACACATATCTAAATACTATATCTAAAGTAATGACCAAACACACATCACAAATATTCATGTGAAAACAATAAGTATAATAATTATTACATTGCAAAAGAAAAGTAGTGTGGAGTACTGCACACTAGATGGCAGCATTATAACAATGAAAACGTCAGTCAAAATCTGTTTTTAATACAAAATAAAGCAAATTTGAACTTCCTAAATTAGAAACTAAAATGCTCTTCTCCTAATCTAGAATAAATTATGTTGCATAGAAGTGGCATGCAGAAAGATATCACGCTTTGATGATAATTTAAAGAGAAGCTTTATTAAAGCAGTTCAGAGTCTCATACATGATGGCACAAGTATCTAAAGGCACAGCACCTTTACGTTGTTAATGACAACTTGTGTCAAAAGAGATTTAAATATGTGAAATTTGTTGGTCAAGAAATTAGTACTTTTTTTTTTACTTTCTCTCTTTCTCTACAGTATCTAACCACTATCTCTCCATCTACACAGAAACAGACAGCCCAAAACAAAACATCCACGTCCCGTTATTCCATTGGTTCCCATTGGTAAGATCAAGTATTTATACGAGGAGCCTTTCACTCTACTCAAATCGAAACCACTCCTGGTTTACTCCCTCTGGAAGTAGAACCATTTATCCACTGCAAATGAAAAAAAATCACAGTCAATCTCACATCAGATGAAAAAATGCAGCAGGAATCTAACAATCAAGTCATTATATAAAGATTTTCTATTTTTAAATCTACCTGATGAGGGGATAGTTTCTTCTTTTCTAAGAGGACTTGTCTGAAAACAGAATGAAACATCAGTTATGAAATCAAGAAGCTAAAAGGCCTTCAATAGACAGAGGTCATGTTGCAAAAAACTTACCCCGGCAACCACAGCTTTAGCCTCGTCCGCTGAACAGAAGTAAGGGCTGCCGCTGGGCGAGACACACATGTTTTTGCTGTATTGTAAGACACAGACATTCATAGTTTTGAATCAATAAATCATAACATTTTAGTTTACATTTTCTATTGTATTTTTTTAGCTGGGGTCAAAGCAGTAAGAACCGTGTTTACCAGTTCAGTTCACCAGCATCGGTCTTTTGGGAAATGAGGTCTTTCCAGAAGATGTGAGTGTTCTTGATTATTTTAATGGCAAAGTCCTGAAACACAAAAAACAGCACGTGATAAATTGAAAAGTAAGGAATTAGATTAACAATAACCTTCACACAATAACGATCTGTAAATCATTTCATTTAAAGTCTAGTGTGCCAACTGCAGTTCCTTGAAAGTCTAACCTTCCAAAGCAGAGCATGTTTGCAAGACAGAAACAACTCTGACAGGGAAGAAAAATAATTTGCGAGAGTAAAAATAAGAGTATGTTAGACCTTGTCCTTAAACTCGCCGTTGAACGCAAACTCGTTCTCTGGTTTCCCATCGGGCACTTTGTACATCCTGAACCAGTCGACGGTGGACTCCAGGTAGCCGGGTTTCAGCCGCTGGACATCACTGATGTCTAAACAGAGATTGGGACAACAAAACAAGTTCAGTATGACTGACGCAGCACTGCTCGGAAGCTCAGACAAAGGGAAAAATAACAGACGTGCTTACTGTTAAAGTCCTTGGCTTCAGGGTCCTCCACGTTGATTACAATCACTTTCCAATCAGTCTCGCCCTCATCGATCATGGCCAGGATCCCGAGCGCCTTCACTTTGATCACCTCCCCGCGGGAACACACCTAGAGACAACGTTTGAGTTTGCAGTTTATTTTCTGTTATCATCAGCAGTATTATCATTTTTCAAATCTATATCAACCTTGACAAAAGAGATGATAAACATTTAAGTCTTGTACCTTGGTGCCGATCTCACAGACATCGATGGGGTCGTTGTCACCGACGCAGCCAGTGTCTTCATCTTTGTGTGAGGGATCTTCCCATGTCTGCAACCACCACAGAACAAAGCTGAGTTCAACATTGGCACGTTTTAAACACTCGGCAGCATTGATCTTACACCATCACAGTTTCAAGACACGTACCTGAGGAATGGCTCCATAGTTCCATATGTAGCCCTTGTGTGGGAACACATTGGCAACGTATCTCACGTTACCCTTCTTCACATCTTGCTTCACAGGGTTCAAGGGTTCTTTTGTAGCAATCTGAAAATAAATTGTTATTTTGAAAGAAGTGACAAGCGTTAAGATTACAAAAAGTTAATTTCATCATGTTTAAGTGCATTTTGTACAATCCTATTGCAACAGAGAAACTTCACATGTGAACCCAGTTGCAATAAAATACTATGGATGACTGGAAATCACATTAAATATTCACATTATTTCAATAATAACAATGCCAGAAATGTAAATAAACTCTTATTCTTCAGAAGAAAGATTACACAAATGTATAGGGATCAAAAAACAAAGCTGCAAAAATATGTAAGACTCATACCTCCATCTTTGCATTAGTCCACCTTGGTACTTCAACAACCATGTTGAAGATGTTCTGCAAGAGACACAAAGCCATCATTATATATATGCTAAACTATTCTGAAATGGTTTAGCACATTACTGAAGATGACACAGTATGAAACCACAAAAATGCCTATATAATGTGCATCATTATGGCTGCTTTGACCTGCATTGCTTGGGTCATAACCTTTCCATTCAAATCATTTGTCATTTCATAAAGATAAGACAAACCATAATTTACAGTTATTACAAAAGATATTGACCCAGCATTAGTAATAAGATAAAGAGTAAAGGTCAGGGCCCCTTAATGACCTTGTTATTCAAGAGAGCATTAATTAAACCAGTTCATTGTCCACACAAATACATGTCCATGGCAGTTCTACAGTTTCAGCAGTTGATAAATGGTAATACATATATTATACTCATATATTAACTGGGGTAAAGGTGATTGATTGAGCCTCACCTGACTCTCATCTGCATACATTGGTATGTCATGGAATGGTGAGATGTACTTTCCCTCAGCATTTTCTGTAAAACAGTTTGATTAAAACACATCCTCATCATCATCATCATCATCATCATCATAGTGTCCAGTGGATTGCAAAGAGAGTACATAGCTTTTCACTAATGCTTACTTACACTCCTGGTTGTAGGTGTGCCATTGAGTTGCTTGTTTGCTAAAGGTTGATGATTTTTTGTCTGTATATCATGACCTCTTTGCCCATTAATGGTTCAATGACATCTCGGACAGCAAGTGATTGCAATAGAGCAGGCTGTGCCAGTTCAGCTGCTTGAAACATTGAATTGCATCCTGCCAGGCCTAAGGCTTTCACTATTACTTAACCAAAGTTAGCGGAGTACACAGGCTTATTTTACTCACTTTGAGACTAACATGTTCTGCATTAAAATTCCTTAAACTCTTGCATTTTGATGATGAAGATAGTGACTTGGATTTATTCTGACAGCCCCAAAATTGACCTGGGTTTGTCTATAAAAACTATGACTCTATGCGGCTTTCACACCAGCGCTTTTCCCTTTCTAGCTCCTAGCTAGAGCTTTTCTGGTTCAGCTCCGGTTTCCTTTTTCTGCTCCCGCTCTGTTCACACCGCCCAGAGCTGCCGCTGCTGCGTCATGACGTCACCGTTTACATCGCTGATTTTCTCCCCAACGGAGCTCACAACAACAACGGGGGACTGCGTCGGGTCGATGATCGTGTTGCTTTTAATCATACGAAGCCAGATTAAATTAAATAACGACTTCTCCAACCTTATACTTTTCTCCAGAGTGCCGTGGTTCATTGTTTATTAATGTGTTTCAGCGGCATTTACCGACCGCTGCAGTGCTGGCTGCTCTTCCACACAAGCAGCTGATACATATCCCCAGTTCCCCTTAAGTGAATGTGTGTCAGTCTGAATTGACGCTGTTTGGCATCACAACGCTGTTATGAAAGTTTCTCTGGTATAACATCGGTGATGTTAGCATAGCAACCGAAGCTAAACTGACTACTTGCTAAGCCGTTTTCTACAGGCAAATTTTACCGGCGTATTTTTCATTATGATACTTGTGATAGTCGGACATGACAACCTGTGCAGCCCATGTATTGATTCCATCCGATAACTGCTATAATACAAAACAAAACAAAACGTCTGCCTGCTCTCCACAATGATCAATAACAGCGAACGGATGGTCAAAGTAAGGTACAAATAAACAGAATCACACGAAGCCTGGTTAGTGTTGCCTGACTTTATAAAGTGTGTTTTTTTTGTATAAGTGTGTGGTTGCCTGTCACTTTGCTCAGCGCTACTGCTTGTATGCAGGCATGACGAGACTCTTCAGTCGACCCATGTTCAGGGTAGGTGGGTTTAGTTTCCTGCACGCCTCGAGACGTAAGCGACGCCGCCTCTAGCTCCGAAGCTCTTGCCTCTAGTCTAGACCGACCATTTTTTGGAGCTGGAAGTGAACCGCATTCCAGAGCTATGAGGCGGCGCCGCTGCGGTGTGAACAGGAAAAACCGGTACTTTTCAGGCTCCAGCTCCGAGCCGGAGCTGAAAAAGCGCCGGTGTGAAAGGGGCATCAAGACATAGCAATATAACAATTATAGACAAGGATGATAAATAATCGGTCTGTGAAACTTACTGAAAAAGAGCATTGAGTTCAACAGGTTCAATATTTACCCCCACCTTTGCCTTATCAATTACAGTTGTATTATTACATTACAATCAGAGGGCGTTGCCTCACATACGGCAAGCCTTTATGATGTTGTGCTGGGTGACGTGTATAATGACCCTTGCATGATTTTCCAAAAATAACCAACTTCCTTCTAGTAATTTCTTCTAGTAATTTCACTCAAGAATACAACGTGAACTATGTACTGTACTGAGACGTTATGTCAGAAAAAAGTCATATACCGGCGAAACCGGGCACAACTGGCTACCGCGACTTGTAAAGGCTCAACCGAGAAATGATGACTGTTCAAACAAGTTAAGATTAGCTTGTAATCCTCCAGAGTAAAACAAATGTCAACACTAAAACATAAGGACTAAACAAACCAGCAACAATGAATGAATAAGTGACACGTGGAGAATGTAGCCAGCTAGAAGGGTTTGTAAAAAGACATAAAAGTAGCAAACAATGACACAACTCTGTCTTTTAAAGTGAGTTTGTACTTACTGAAGAACAGACGGTAGTTCAGGGAGTGCAGGTTCCCCCTCTCTTCCAGTGTGTAGCTCATGTTTAGTGCAGGTTGTTGCTGTCTGGCTCTGGGATGGCGGCGGAAGGAAGCGTCTGCGCTTTAGGTAGTGTAGAGAGGGAGGGCACCGCGCATGCGCAGTCTGCATAGGATGCCTTCAGAGGCTATCGGAAATATCTTACTCGACAAATGAAAATAGAAAAAACATGTACAAAACTATAAGTGTAAGTTTGAATTGAGTATCAAGCAGAACTGAATAAGGCTTAAGGATGAATGGAACAATCATTGTTGTCAATGTCACACACTACACAATGTCATCTCGTATAGTAGTTATCAAGGTATTATCAAAATATAGTTTTTGCAGTATTGCAATAGTCTGTATTTGTTGAACTATATTTGCCTGTCTTTATATGTTAAATACTGAATATGTTAATAATAACAACATAGTGTATGTCTTGAGTCAATAATACTTGTTTTTATGCTACTATTTATTTCATTATTACAAGCTGCCGAGGGTGGCTATGATCTCGCATGAAATCAGATCAGAGAGACTTTAAAGATAAAAAAAAGTTGGGAAAAAACAAGTAATAGATCAGTCCTGGTACTCAAAGACTCAACAAACATGGTTCGAAAAAGTTTTCTGACAATGGTGAGAACTGCCATTAGCTTCCCAAAGCTTGTATTGTCCAACCAACAGTCCAAACCTCAATATTATAAATACACCTATATGTATACATTTATGTATGTATTTACTTGAACTGTTTGCTGTACATACAGTCGGCTAGCTAACCATTTACATTTTTAGTAAAATATGAGAAAAATATTCATGCCTTAAAAAACTGATTAGGATTTAAGAATAAACCAATTATATATTGATAAAGTTGTAGGTGTGATGGGAAGATTGAGTTAAAGTAGGGAAAAATGACAATCTGACAGGTCACAAAAATCAGCGTAACATTTTTAAATGTAGCCTACTGTATTTTCTATAAGCCTGGAGATATTCAGTGGTGGAAAGTAACTAAGTACTCAAGTACAATTAAGTATCATTTTGAGGGACTTGTACTTTGCTTGAGCATTTCCATGTTAAATGCTACTTTATACTTCTACTCCATTACATTTAAAAGGGAACTAATGTTTGTACTCCACATTTATTTAACAGCTTTTGCTACTTTTAACAGAGTGCATCTCTACAATCTCTAACCCTAAAACAGTCAAAGGCTACTTGATGCAACAATACTAGAAGTGTCACTTAAGAAAAGTACATTTTGCTGATAATACTTTTGAACTTTTACTGAAGTAAGATTTTGAATGCAGGATTTTTACTTAACTGAGTATTTCTACACTGCAGGAATGCTACTTTTACAAAGGATCTGAGTACCAAAACTGCAGATATTGTAAAAACACTAATGTTTCTCTGAGTGTAGAAAGTAGGCAGGCACCATGCTGATGCTGACTACACATCCGCCCGCTGCCTGTCGTCCTTCCTGCCTTTGCTGAGGGAGGGGACGGTGCTGACGGCTGGGAGGACGAGAGGAGAGACAAGAAAGCTTTGGGGAGATATTAGAGTGGGAAACGGCCCAGGTTTCCACCGTCCGTCGGGAAATAAACACCCCTATTTTCTGAAACGGCTTGATTTGTCATCGAATCGGCACTGAAAATGTCGACCAGTCGTCAGCTTAGCGAGAGCAGGGCCATCCCGACCAGGACGGTGTTGATCAACGACACAACGCAGCTACCTCATGACTATTGTACCACCCCTGGAGGCACTTTATTCTCTACCACTCCCGGAGGTAAGGGGATATCCCGACTACGCATAGTTTTTATTCAGAAAATGGAGGATAATTGTCATTTTGTGGTGTTTGTACTCTCACAAAACCTTTCACTGCTCATGTAACAGTGGCCTATAGGCTGCCGTGTCATCCCGATCAAAACAAAAACAAAGCTAAGCCCCGCCCCCTCGCTCTCTCCCGGCTGTGTGATTGGCTGGTTTGCAGCGCAGAGATTCTGATGATGGCATTGTGCAGTAATATTTAAAAAAGGTGGAAATGTTTTCTTTGCCACCTATGATTATGAATAACACGACTGTGATAATCTACAGTTTAAGGCATTTCCTGTGCGTCAGCTATGCATAGCTGGATTTGTATTTGCCTTAGAGTTCATAGGAGGCCTTTCAGATAAGGATGTGCAATACATCCACCAAGGATGCTGTACTGTACGCATCTGCTTTATATCTAAACAGATTCACTCTGCATAGCAATGTAATATAGACTTTCTGACAAAGGTTTTAGCTTTTTATTTTTGAGTGAAAATGATCTATCACAGTCCATGGTGACTTCTTCAGACGTCTTATTTTATTCCAACAACATTCTATAGCCCAAAGTATACCTGCATGGTTTACAATAATATAAAATAGAGAAGCAGAAAATCTTACATTACCAAAGCTTGAGCCAACATTTTTTAGTTGGCATTTAGTTTGAAAAAGACTAAAACGAATCAATCATAGTAATATTTGCTTGTATATTTGATGTCAATCAGCTTATTGACTGACCATTTAATATATAAACCAACATCATATTTGAGAATGTTATGGAATTATTGTTTAAAACGGTGGTTTAAAAACTAGGGGGCAAATAGACCACTGAAGGGTTCTCATAGCCAGAGAAAAACATATTAAGTAAAACTAAAGGGCCTTTGGTCACAGTACATCTTGACCTGTCAAACACATACTGCAGATCAAATTAATCACTGCATTGCATGCAATTATTGCTGGAACTGTGCCACCGATATCGTTATTAGTTCCACCTGTGCAGTTCTGCCGTGACACGTTAAAGTGTGTACTCTGAAAAAGGTCAGTGACTCTGATTAAATGTGAGCGATAAATACTGTTATGAAAGCAAGGCTATCAAGTTCGATGTTAAGTCTATCTTCCTCCATGTCTTGCTTTTAATAGTTCCCATTTAGTTGCATTTCCTTTAATTTATTCACAAGGACAATAGACATTAATTAAAATGTCTGTGAATGTGCCAGTATTTAGTCAGCTGGTTACCTCAGTGAGATATTATATACCAGTTAAGGTGATGATATTTACAGAAGACAGCAATACAATATAAAGACAGCAACACAATGCTTTCTCGAGCGACTGCAGAAGACATATAGATCAACAGGAAGCAGCAAAACACAGCCAAGCAGAACTCTTTATATATTTTTTAACACATCAAAACATGCCTTAAGTACCCTTAAGCAAAAGGGCTTAAATAAAATACAACCATCAGGATAGAGATCTAGATAAATAATGTTAAAAGATGCAGTTACATCTTATTAAAATGTATATTTTATTTTAAGATGTTGGTGCCTTTTGACAGGGTTTTAATCTGGGTCATCTTGATGATGACAAGCCCTTTGACTCACGGCTCATTTGATAGCACCGGCATGAGATGCTTCCCAGGATAGAGCACGATAACTGTAACTTGATACGTGTTGTGTTTCAGGAACCCGGATCATCTATGACCGTAAGTTCCTACTGGACAGACGTAACTCTCCCATTGCCCAGACTCCCCCGGCTCACCTGCCTGTCATTCCTGGAGTGACCAGCCCAAATGTCCTGAGAGAGAACAAGAAGAACGAAGCCAACAACCACATCAAAAACAAACATGATGGCAAGCCCATAACCGGTAAGAGTTACAATATGGTCTGAGTAACCATATTTTTTCTCAAACATTTAACCAACTCTCTGTTGTTAAGTTGTAATTATTCCACTTAATACCCATTATGATATTAAAGAAGCACAACCTGTTTCAACATACCTTTCTCAATAAATGTGTTGTTTCTTCTTTTCAAGGTGATGATGCTCAGTTTGAAATGGACATCTAACAGACTGGAACTCCACCAGCAAAAGAATATGACCTGGCATCACCCGTGTCAGTGGCTTGGCTTGTAGAAACCAATGTTGTGAGCCCTCATGGCATCTTCTTTAGCTCTCTGTCTCGCTGCTGGATGTAATGTGTGTAAACCATGGGAAATCAGTGTATCATACAAACCGGTACAGTGTCGCCAACTCTGGAAACTACGTTAATTTGTATAGATTTCCATTGATACCAGTCACTGTAAAAAAAACACACATTGAAGGAGCGGGCCTCAAAATGGTGTACCCAAACACATTGTCCAATCCGCAGATTTTAGCACTCATCTTCCAGCTTTCTGTGAGTCATGATCTCTAACAGAGCACACTGTAAAACGGACAAAATTCCAAGATAATTTGGGGGAGGAAGTGGTAATTTTAGTACTGGCCTTAGAATTATTCAAAAGCTTTGATATTCATCACATATTTTGGTTTTGAAGACGCATGTTATTTAAGTGATTTTAGTTTGTTTTTGCTATTTGGTTCTACTTCAAAGCTCCATAATATATTCTCAATTGTTTGGTCTGGTAAATTTCCTGCGATAGTATGCAAAGGGACGCTGTGTTGTTTTTATTTTGCAATTTGATGAAGATGTCATGCCATTCCAAGACTCTAGTTCCCATTAACACCACAAGCCCATGTGAGTTTTAGATTATTTTAAAAATTGAATTTGAGGCTGTTTTTAAATGTTTTGTAATCATCAAATTATTGTATTTCCCACTATGATGTAAAATTATTTATAATACTGAAAAACAAGCATTTTATTAACAATTAATTTAAAAGTCAATGTCAAGCCTTTCAATTCATCACTATGATGATCTGGCTTTACAGTTTCTCTCCTGCTGAGAAAAGTGAATACCTTTTCTCCAGATTTGATGTCACTTTGACCTAACTGGTTAGGTTTGTAGACACGATCTTTGTGTTGATATTAGGTAAATCTAAGAAAGGGAGGAATACTTGGCAATATCTGTCAGTCTTCTGTGTCCACACCCGATACACATTTCAATTAATGTGATAATAGTTAATATCCCAATGGTAATTTTTAAGTAAAATACAACAAGATTTTTGAAAAACTTTAAATAATCCACATATTTTATATGCATTTTATTTTTGAATACAGTTTCTTATTATTGAGGTATTTGTTTGGGTATCAGCACTGTCAAGCCTTTGGATTTGTAAAAAGTGTCAGAGAACCAGAAGACATTGTGTTTGCATTAGGCTTGATAGATGTTGTCCCATAATCTACAAATCTGACCCCAGTGTCCTTAAATCA